TGAGCTTCTTAAAGTCGCCAACGTATCCTTCATAAGTAAACAATTTCAAAAAAAAAAAACTCTCGATATAGATTTGTACTCAAGGGCTCTTCAGACTGTTCTTCAGCTTCAGCAACCACTACTTACCATTCTATGGACGTCCCAGTATCAAAACCGAAATGACTTTAAATTCGCCGCATGTTTGCGGCAATTGTAGGTATCGTTTTCGAGATTAAATAGGATAGAAGATCCGAGCAGTTGAACATATGGCTTCTTGAATGTTGTTGTTCTCCAGAGCTGAACGGAATTATGACAGCGGTAGAGGCGTTTTGATGAAAATTTTAGTGGCTGCAGAGAAGACGTTAAGTTGGGTGAAGAATCGCATACAGAATCCCTAAACACGGTAACCTGGAGTTGAATATAGGGCGTACTCCTCAGAAGGGATTAATTAACGTCAAAAGACTTCATCCTTTCATCCCTGTTCCAAAAATTGCTTAGCATTATCGCCATGGTTCAGGACCAGGAGCAATTATGATCTTGTACTGCAGAAACGTTGATATCGTTATTCTCTGCTACTCACTAGTTATATTCTTTTCCAATAGCCACACCCCGAAGGTGTAGTACAGAACAAAATCATCAAAGAAGATACCTCAAACAATCTGCTGAAAGCAACAGATGAGCGCGCTGGTGACGAACTTCTACAGAGCTGATAAACACGTCCATTCTCAGAAACGGTCACTCGCGCTACCGGTTTTTGAGCCCGCCTTACTTAGACTGCCTTTCGACTAAACAACGCTATCAGGCATTTCTAGGGGCCACAGATTCGTAGAGGAGAAGATCTCGAGAAGCATTTTCCCATCGAAGCCATTGCAAATTGCGCTTTTAAAAAGAAATGAGCAGCGCTCTACTTGGAGAATGACTTACTGCGGAATGTTTACGTTTCAAAGATAAGGTTGCCCTTCTTCAGCTTGCGTTGTTTTGTTGGCACCTTGCACAATGCAACATAGTGGAATGAATTGTCACGAATATCTAAAAGCTAACATCGAAGACGGCATGCTTACACGTGATATGTTTAAAGGCACTGTTCACGAAAAAGTGGTTTCGGAGATTTGCACATGGTTTGAATTCGAAGCCCCCTCCGATACCATTTGTGCAGGAATGAGGTCGGAAAACGGCTGGATAGGGCACAATAAGGGCAGGAACAGTGGGGGACGGGAGGCCTCCGCCCCTCGCTAGGCTGGCTACGGGTTCTAATTGTCCTTCACCACATTCGCACTGGAGCGAAGTTGGTGAAAAGTCGATAAGCTGGTTGGCAAATTGCCAGAGAAGCAATGTGTTGTCTGCTATTGCACATTGCGTCGCCTTCGTGCACTCGCCCGAACACTCTCTAACCGCCGTTCTTTCAATGTGAAACTCGTCCAACCCCCCTTTCCAGCTCTTTTTTTTGACCCTTTGTAATTCTTTTTGTTCATCGTTTTTTCGCTTTTTTTCGTTGTTATCGCTTTACTCTCAAGTAGTTCTATCAATTCCCGTCAAAAAAAGAGTACCCTAAGTTTTTTGTGAACGGTGCCTTTAAACCTCCATTTCCTATGAACAACTCATTCATATTCATCCCTCCCTCTACGTGGCTCAAAAGGCTTCTGTACTGAATCGATATGAGGCAAAAGGTTTTCCAGCTAGTTATTCCTGTTATTTATTACTTATTTCGACTAATTTGAAATTCTTCAATCTGAAAATAAATAAGATTGAAGTTCCGAGTAGTTGAAAACAAGGGAGAACTTCCGTGACGATTAATCCTTCATTAGGCCAATTAATTGAAAACCGATCTGCGCAGTCCTCTATTTAATATTTCCAGAAAGCGTAAAAGTGGGAAAAGCCCTCCCTTGAAGGGTGAATGCAACTTCAACACTGTTCTGTCTGATACAGGTCTGGTAGGATTGTAGCCCCAGAACGTGCGCGATTCCATCCTGACTTGGATGTTAGGCCATGCGTAGGTCGAGGAATACTGTCAAATGCAACAAAACCATCTCTGATGTCAAATACGAATAGTAGTACACTGAAGATTGGCAGTATAAGACCAAATGTTGTTTTGGGCCGCAGTCAGATGCAAACAGGGCGGTTTTAAATTTTTGCTTCTTTGTCTGTGCCTTCGTAATAGACTCGCCTAATACTTTTTTGTTCCTTAACGACTGCTTTTGGTTTCAACAACAGTGTAGCGGTGTAAGCCGCTCGGGAGGAAGTCTGTTCCCGGAAGTCATCACATCAAATGACTATTGAATTTTCTCATGACCTTTTATAAGAGCTTATGCGACGCATACCCGAAACACCGAGTTGAAATTGCCTAATTTTTAAATCACTTCCTCACCTCGCTTATACTAGACATTGTCATTATTATGGAATCCTGGCTGATTTCAAAATTTGTGGTAGCGAACCACAGCGAATCCTTGTTCGAGAGAATTGGTGTTTTACCACGTTCATCTACCGATTCCTTGCATTTCAAAATATGGTTTTTTCGCTTTGGCTTAGCCTGGTGCTTTCTGTGTTGATGCCATTTTTCACGCTGATGTATTTTGGTTCTGAGAGGTGCGAATGTGCAATCCTAATCTAACAGACGATCGTGAGTTACAGGGTTACCAATACTGGTAGTAGAGAATCTTAAGCTCATCGGTGAAGGCGTTTCCAGCAATGAACTCTTACGTCGCAATTCACATGAATCTCTGCGATCCGTATGCCACGATGAAGGACACAACTGCCATTAGTGAAGTAGCTGCCCTCAAAGGCAAATCCACAATAAAATGGTTTCTGAATTTCCCACAAACCTCGGTCTCTGAAAAACAGCACATGGGCCGCTGTCGGATAAAAAAACGGCCCTGATATTGCACAATTAGGGCTCCAGAATCAGCTCTTCCGGCGTAAGCACCCAAAGTAGACGAATTCTAGGGCGTTGTAGAGCCTGCACCATCCACAAAGTACATCTTTTATTGGGAATCCAAACAATTGGTGACTCATGGCAGCACTGGAAAGCATTAGGTCATTTGGTTTGGTAATATGGTCACTTTGAGCTCTATGAAAAGACCTCTTTCCTCAATTACTGAGACCTCGTCCAAGTACCTCATTCATGCCATTCCCACCATGTTATTCTCGTACTACTACTACTACTACTACTTTCACCTCCTTAGAAACACTTATGTTTCGCGAGTTCTTCAGATTTTCTCGCTTTTCCGCCACCGATGCACGCTTCTGCGCCGATACTTCAGCTATTTGACTCAGAAAGTTTACCTCGAATTATCTAGCACTGCGCATTTGAAGAAGAATATGATCCTGTTTGCGAGAGTTTTTTTCTTTTAGGATTACAGAATACCATTTCTATAGCTCAGAAAATACAACTGGGCTTCGATCGGAATTCCACGCCATTTTTTTGAAGAGAATTATTTAGCTTCAACGTTGTAAAGACGTATCTAACAATTTGTCAAGTAGCAAACTAAAGAAGATTGCTGTTTCACAAACAGGGCAGATTAATGCATGATGCAAAGCAAAAGCACTGACCAGTGGAAGCAGGTGCATCGTAAAGTTCCTGGCCCAAACAACGTTCGGATTTATTATCGAGGAACGCTCGAGCTGCTTTTCTTTCCATACTATTCAGTTGAAACAAGTTTCCGATACCTACATTTTGGATTCCCTGAGGTTTTCTTAATATCTACGGAGGATTGAGTCTCAAGTGCAGAAGGAAGGGTGCTTTCAAAACTTGCCACTAACCGCCCGCATAGCGCCAAGTCGGCAAAAACAGCCAGCAGTCATATTATATCCGGCGAACACCTGCTACCGACGCCGGCCGGCTAGACGCTCTGCAAGCCTTGCATGTAAGATGAACAAATCGATCAATTACGAGAGCTGAAACGGCCATTCCCCCCGTCCACCTAATCATCACCTCAGAACTCGCAAATTTTCCCTAGCTGCCGTCGTTCCAATTCTAACACGTTGAATAGAAACGCTGCTCTCTGGGGTTTAACGACTTCCGTCACAAAAACGTCTTTTAGCACACTTGCCAGCCACAAGCGAATCTGTTTTCAATCCCTATAATTACAGGATCAAACTGAAAAGTCTTAGGTGGTAATGGGCTCTATGAAACTATATTTCCTCGACGAATGCTCTCAAATTTCTCATTTCTAGCGTTATCACTTCAAAGTGACGCCGAGTCAAATGTGTATAACCTGTTATTAACTGAGACTGAGCATGAAAAGTGCATACTCGTTTTGAAAACATTCAGCTACCCCTACTAATTACCCTCTCCTTTCAGGCAAGGCCGATTGCGTTGCTATTTCATTGGCAGGATGGCAGCAGACAAGAAAAAAGAACAAAATAAAAAGAAAGCTAAAACTAAGTAGTCACTCGTTTTCTTTGGATGCCACTAATGCAATCTGACCTCTAGAATATGTATCTAGAAAAAAGAAATATGAAAGCAAGTGTCGGCTTAAAGGGACTAGAACCACCATGCATTTTTACGCTATAATTATTTCCTTGGATTACCCAGAAAAGAGCAAAACCTACATCAAAATCCTTCTGAATTCGAAATTATTGTTTGACTAACATTATCACACAAGGGTGGTCCTGGTGCTTCTACTATAAAGCTACATTCAATACATTCATATCTTTGACATTAATGGGACTATATTACAAGAAAAGCCAAAAATCTAATTACTATGATAATTGGAATCCATTTCTTGATTCATAGTGGAGCTCGTCAGAATGATTAAAGATTAGCAATGAAACCATGTTTATTTATTTTGTTGGAAATCGAACTGTATCTAATCATTTTGCTTTGTCTTCGTAATCAATAGCACTTTCAAAATAATCTACACCACCTCAAATAATGGGATGCAGATTGCTTGTCGTTTCATGTTTCACTTGGAACCCTATTCCTGACGCTTCAATAAGAGTGAGCCGTGGGTCGAGGAATGCTGCTTCTCAAGCATTAACAATCTCAGTGAAACCCATCTTACAACTCAACTTCCAAGAATCAATTAATTTGAACTCCATAGTGGTTCTGCAAGAAGTAGTGGAATAATATTAATGTGAAATAAATGGAGTTCGTGAAGCGTACCAGCTATGACTTGTTTTCCACGACCTTTTCCATCTTTGGCTCCTTCGATGATGCCGGGCAAATCCAGAAGTTGGATCTTTGCTCCCTAAACAAACAAAACCGTACTCCAGAAAGGTCGTCGCCCGAGCCATTTTGAGCTTTCCTTCACATGTGTTACACTGTGAACTCATTTCACAAGCTCCGAGTACGAACCAGTCTAGTTCTCTAAATACTACTCACGTCAGACTTATTATCTAACCACACTATTCTCTTTGCACCAGTCGGCTGTTTTCCGCAAAGCTCTACGTGTCTGCTCTCTACGTGTTTCCCTAGGCAGACTCTCCCTAAGGGGCAAACCACCAACTTTAACTCACAAAAACAAGCCCGGGCATGTTCGTTTACTGAATTGAAAGTGAAACCAACAACACTTCGCAACACTCTGAGAACAACCATAACTAGAGAGAACTGAACAAGCCAAAAAATGTTCTGTGTCACACCTTATATCGAATAACTCCGGGCACTGTTGTTAACGTTGTGAACTCATATGCCGCCACCTCCGAGTAGACGCCGGCCAGATTGGACAACAGCGTAGACTTGCCCACTGATGGAAAGCCTAGATTCAAATCAGTTTTCCTTCAACAACTCGCCAAAACAACCAAATAATATCTATTTAGACCAAAATCAATGCTGCTGCTTTCAAATCTTCATTTTGAGACTTTCTCATGAAATTAAAAGTAGCATTCTACCAAAACACTTTGATAACTAACATATGTATAACCATGCTCATCAAAGCTATACCCACATTATCTGAATAAGGTACAGATAGCGTCTACATCGCTTGTTTCCACTACACTGCTATTCCATCTTAATTCCGATAACTAGTTTTATTGACTGAATGCAATCAGGCTGATGATTCGCTTGTCAATACGCGAAAGGGGACCTCCGTTCTCCACAATCAGCGCTCTACTTTCATATACAAACAATAGTTTGAAAAGATGTTATCCTGGAATGAGTACTACTGGCGCATGGTGAAATCTGCAATTAGGATTAGGAATTAGGGAAGTACGATTCATGAGGAATGTCTGTAGGCTCCTGGAAGATACTTCTGAATTTTCACATGGAGTTCATTTCAACCATGTTTAGACAGCATACTTTGGCCGAAACGAATCGCTCACGCGCTCATTTTACCCAATGGTTATGGCACTCGTTTAATCAGAAGCAATAGAAATCGAAGTCTCCGACTTAATGCGGCCGCTCAGGGGTTTCTTGAAATTGTGCGTTTTCAGAGGGTTCATAATTAGAAGTCTGGTAGAAGCGAGTACCATCTTCAGAAGACAGTCAAGTTTAGTTCGCACCGATCCGTGGCTCAAACTTATTTTAGAGCCTTGTCGAAATTTAAAAAAAAAAACATTCCATGGATTTTCTAGTACAGTAGACAAAACCGTAGAAGCATGTATGCTTTCAAAACGCGGTTCTGATCTTCACTAAGCCTGTCTGAAGGAATGAATGATCTGACCGAAATGGGATAGGCCTAGAGCACAGTACCAGCAAATCCAGAATCTTTTAGCCACTGACCTTCCTTTGTTTAAGATACCTTCCACCTTTGTCTAGCACTGCGCGCGTTCAACTGCATAATAAGCAGATCCTGGATTCTATACCGCTCCAAAAGCAGCTGATACTTGGAACCACATCAAGAGGTAGCTCTTAGAAGATACATCGTCCCGCCATCGTAAGCCACCATATTGCTCCTACCTTCTCTACGTGCAGAATTTCGTACTTATATTCTCGATTTTTCACATCTCTCTATGAGAGAAGCCGAGTCAAAAGGTTACATATATCATTCGATTTAATGTAGATAGATGAATACAATATCGTTTTCCGTTCAAAGGAAGCTCATTTCCGTTTTGTGTAATATAACTTCTGTTTTCAGAGCCAACTAGTCGCAGTGACCTAGGCCGACTTCGAAAATCGCTTCTTGATGTCCACAAGCGATGGACGTCGGCGGATGGACGTACAGCTGTGTACAGAATACTCGAGGATTCATCGCAGCGGCATCGATGGCACCAACGAAGCGCCGCAAGCGGAGCGGGGCGGAGCTTGGCGTGGCGCCGCCACTGGCGCGTAGGAGCCACTGTGCTGTTCGTTCTCGGCATGCGCCTGACAAGACAACTCACATGAGCCCGCTCTACCTTCTACAACGTAGTAATCATCGCTATCACAATCCTCGCCCAAAACATTTATTCTTATTGAAACACTCACACCTCTTGCTTTTCGTCATCGTCTCCGAGCTGCTGATTTGTCCAAGTGTCAGCGGCACGCCAAACTCTCACTATTACGGCGATGACGCTGCCCGTAATCTCCCACCTCATCAACGTTCTCAGCCTCAACAGCGAATGGTCTGCAATAATGGCACCGACTATCGGTGTATATGTAGAGCTAGTATTCCTCCGGATAACGAGCCAACACCTGGCATTATTGAATGCGACGAATTTATCCAGGTTCACGCTCTTCCAATGTTTGCTTCTTTAGAGTTTTCTTCTCAATTTTTTTTTCCAAAATTGACTTCTTTGGATGATCTATGCACTGCTTTGATATCATTCTTCATTTGTGTCATCAAAGTCCTTCTGAAATGGAATACACTACCCAAGAGTATATAACTCAAATATTACCTAGTCAAATGGGATTTTCTGCGTCGCCAAATCCACTTTGCGAGCGATAAACGAGCCTAAACGGTCAGTTGTGGCTACACATATAATCATGATTGCCAAAAGAGTATTTTCAATTGCAAGCTACTGCAAAGCGGACGACAACGCCGCAAAAGAAGCTGAGTTATCGACCGCGTTTGAGAGTTTTCCCCTCTAACAATGCCACGCATCATGGTGAAGCTCTCCGCTCCTTCTCGCCTTCACGGCTAGCGCCCATCACACACACACACACACACACACACTAATGCTCATTCGCATGAGATCTCACACTTTCCCTATTAGTTGTAGTGAATTTCCCAACATCGTTTTGCATAAGCCTTCTTGGCAAAAACTGCTCAATACTAGCCGGTCTTCGAAGCCATATCCATTCCTCGTAGGCTTCATTAGGCTGTTCAGAAACACTCCATCAAGCTCCGTCATACATCTCTCTTCGTATTCTTAATCTTTGGGGACGTTTTTATAGCGCCACTCTTTTCTTTAAAATGAGGACCTCTTCAGACAAGCAAGCTTCCTTTTTGAGGCAACATATATGGCTTGAACGTCTGCTTTATCGAGGAAATACTTCATGCAAAACGTTGATTCATGGTTGACGGAAACTCCTTTATTTCGAAGAACTCAACCTTTTCTTACGGAATCGACAAAGACATCGCTATCAATCTCATAAAAACCCTTCACCCTAGTCATTCCCAGATGCATTCACCACTCAAATGAAACCTGAGTCGCACGTAAATCAGGCGATGCCCGGAAATGTTCCAAAAAATGACGGTAACAGATGACTGTTCATACCCAGACGATGACATTCTTAGATGGAATACGTTGTTGATTCGATCGAGTAGCAGAAGACTTTCAATACATTTCTTACCCATGCAATGATTCGCTGATATTAGTCACTATTCGCTTATTTAGCACTAATAAGTTTGGTAAAAATTAATGCAGTCCAGTGAGTAGAAGGTAGGCCCAAGAGATTGGATCGAATATATCATGCGTGCAATCAAAGTGGTTTACATCTATTCACACCCATGTGCTGTCTGAGCCAAATCACGCACGCAATGAATGCCATGATACTAAGTATCGTCCAACATGTTCAAATCAACAAATCAAAAAGCCTCAAACCCCATCACAGCCTTTCAACGACGAACGAGTTTTGGACGCATTTTGAAATTTCACAGATTTATGTTTTCCGTAACCAATACTGCATAACATGCACGTACTACGTCTCTAAATTTCAAAATAAACATTTCGTATAAACGTAGTTGACTTTCTGGAAGAATTCTGAAACATGCCGAGGTCTTATGGCGTCTTATAATATTCTCTGACATAACTCAACTCCCCCCTTCTTTTTTACAGGGTGCGGAGCCTAAACGAACTTTTTTCGACCTGCAGCAATTGAACGTTTTTCTAAACGTGTTCCGTATAGTTTCAACTGCTAGATTGTCTTAGTTGCATACCGAGGCTTCTTATTGAAAGAAACGGAATGGTGACTCTCTGGATGCTATGCTCTCTGTTATATATTATCCCATCGCCTTGGTGGAGTCTGAGAAAACATATCACTTTTATTCTTCTAGTATTCCGGAGCTGAGCTTCCGATGCACCCCTGTATAATGATCTTGCAATATTCCAAAACTCCCTTGAAGCGCTTGGAAGTGCTGTGCCGCACTGATTACCTTCGGCAACTTTTTTATATCAAAAAAGATCGTATGACAAGATTATTGTTCGGAAAGTTAGCGGTATACCACTCGGAGAAGCAGTGTTGACTGGGCACACTCACAATTCCTCGATGTGAAAAGGATGCCCGAACGGGGTATGACTTCGAACTTCACATTGAATGCATAGGAAATCTGCCTCTTGAATTACCTCGCCCTCCTATCTGGGAAAAAACAGCAGTAGGAATGGAGAGGATGATAATTGTAAGGAGAGAAAACACCTCTTTTCGGCTGATTCCGTCCTTCGGTATTTTCCAAAAAAAAAGTTGAGGAAATGTCCGCAAAGTAGAAGGCCAGAGTTTAGTGCAAGAGTCGTTAAAAATCATTCGCATATGATAAACCATCAATGAGTAGCGCCTTTACCATAACCCACACTACGACTCCGCGGCATACTGATATCCTTGTGCTTTTCTACCACATGAACATGCCTTTCCGTATGAATTTGGCAGTACAACCGCACTTTATGTTGAACGTCTGCCCCTCGAATCCGTTCGGCGTCCGATTTTCGAGCATAGCGTAAATGATACCTCACTTCAGTTTATCCGTTGTCAAAAAAAAAATTGAGTACTTTCAAAAAAAAAAAAAAAAACGATTTCAATGTCAATTTCTTCCTAACCATGATGAAAAACTTGCTGGAAACTTGCTGGGAATCAACTTCACTTAGCCTTGCCAGACACCATTAACTCACTATATGTTGCACATTAATTTAAAATACTCTGTGAAAGATGTTTTTAGTGGCTAGTAATCATTCTAAAAGAAACCTGTGGGTTGGTTTCAGTCACTCGAATTGCCAGTTGTCGACATGCGATTGAGACACGTGAATCTCGAGGCACATCTACACACCAACGAAAAATACGAGACGTATTTTAAGCGCCGTATCGCGAACATCGTCTCATCCTATTGTGAACATCAGGCTAATGAGTGCCCCGGAGCCACACTACGAATAACACAGGTACAAATTACTCAAATGTTAATCATTGCTGTGTCGGGTCGTCTGTGCTGTGTTGCGTACGCTGTGATGTAAATGTAATTTGTTTACTGCCTCCGTTGCGAATCCAAATTCCCACCAGCCCTCGCCTAAAATCTCATACGAAAAAGCAATCCTTAAAAAGCAACCTCTTCCCAAAAACTATTCAAAGTGCATCGCTTATTGCACTTGGCGAATTCTTCACTGAAGCACCACGGATCTTTTTTTTACGTTTTCGAATATCTTCCAAGATAAGCTTGCATCTCCGTTCACCATTAGCATGACCAGGAAACGTTGCTACTCGCGAAGGGTAAACTACGATAATAAAACAAGGTCTAATCATGCTAAGTTCTAGTCGGTTACTTGAGCCTAAAATATATTGATTTCATGAGGAAATATGAGGAGATATCCGAGTAAAATTGGAAACAGGACCGGGCCTCCGTTTGTTTGAAACAGATACAAACCGAATTAGCCATAAATACCACAATTAGAGCTTGATTGAAAGCGTTACGACCTATCCAATTGGGTTCCTGTTCGACTGACTTGAAAATAAGTTGGGCGAGGAGTGAAAGAGGAGGTAGAGCTTTGGTTCACATCTTCATTTTGGAAGAAAGATTTCGAGTCAAAGGAGCTGTAACATTTGCATTCATAGGGTGCACTCCCAAAAAGTCGCGGTTAGAACAGAATTTCGAATCGAATTGACCACTGGTTACATGCATTTCCTTATTCCTATTGGAAACCACCTACGGCAAGACGAAAGAAGAGGGATGCAGCTGCGCAGTTCGTAAGGCAGATAAAACTCAGCTGGGGAGCTCGTGAAAGCAGGAATACACTCTTGGAAACTTACAGCGTCTTACAGAGCAGAAGAACACCTGGGTTCTCTCTGGAGCCGCTATCTTTTACCCCGGTTTTCGCCTCTACCGAGCTACGAAATACGAGCCCGAGACAATAATCATGGTCTCCCGTTTTCAAACAACATACTCTTGCTGTTAACAGTAAAGTTCAGAACGCTAAGCAAACCCTAAGCTATTATCAGAACAATAGATAGTGAGTGTTGAGCCTATAAACGAGAGTAGAGACCACTTCCTTTTCCTATTTTGATAGATAAACAAGGTTTTATTTCCTCTTAATAATGCTACCAAGTATCGACCAAGCAAGAACGCCACAGGGCTTGCGCATTACAGACGTCTTCCGATGCATCACAGTCAGACGACAATGACGACGACAATTCCGTGCTATATGCAGCTGATGATGAATCAGAACCGCTTCTCACTCAGAACAATGTCGTACTGTTGCGGGTGGAGCGGGAACCGGTCAACGTAACTCGCATTCTTTTCGCTATCACGAAATCCGAAAACGTTGGCTCACTCAACGAACAAATGATTATCGATCCAGTGAAGGTACAATTATTTTGTTCAATATAGTTTACAGGCGAATTCGCAGATCGAGTAGTCCATATTTCAGGTAAAATATATTCTCGGGAGTCAAGCTGGTCCATTGGCACGAATTCTCGGGGGAATCAAACTCGACAGCGTCCGCGTCTCACGAATACGGCGCCATCTGAAGCCTTCAGAAACCGATAACACGCGACTAATCACGATCATTTCCATCGTCGGCGCTTTCTTCGTTATCTGCTACATCATCGGGGCTATACGACTTTGCAGGTAGTCATTTGCTATTGGCAATCAAACCCCGAGGATGCTCATGATATATCCTATCGGTCCTATAGGTGTTGAAGAATATTTCAAGCTCGGATGACCAATAGAAGGCAATAGTTCCTTGGTAGAATAGGGTTCGCTCGAAGCTTGACTGTTCTATCGTTTTTCCTCTGCTTTCCTCAAATGGCTAAGTTTCTCCGAAGATTGGCTGCATCCTTTCGAATCAATCTCGTCAGCCTGGCTTCGCATGTGTTTTTCTACTACTTAAGAACAACTCGTGTTTATCTCCGCCCTCACAATCGTCCCTTTTTCTCTCATCTTGATCAATAACATACCCGTGTTGTTGATAGCCTCAGATTGCTCAGAATGCTTACTACGCATGACAAACCTTTACAAGACGGGAAGAGAATTGAAATAACGATCGGCAGGGGAAGGAAACAAGGCGAACATGCACCGTGGAAAACGAATCCCTCACACAATTGAATTTTTATGTTTTCGCGTGCTTTGGGTCCCACGATATGTGAGGTTGTATAACGCTTTCTCTCTTTATGACGTGCTGGTTGGTTTCTGAAGAAAACGGCTGAACCCGCCTCCTAATTTCAGGGTTATAGGTGAAATATAAAGGAATTGCAGCGACTCATTGAATTCTCTGTCACTGCAGTTTAACGCATGATCGGAACTATACCAAAACCGAAAGGGAAGGCTCGAAGTATAACGAAGAAACCATTCTGATGTTAGCTTTAGAGAGAACAAAGCGACCTCTGCATGACCAATGAGAAGGCTTTTCGCTGCAATTTCCGACATCAGGCACATTTTCTTTCGAATAGCTATGAACTAGCCAAAAGCTCGGACGGAAACTGAGGCGACTTCTATTGTGTGTTGCGTGTGTCTTAGTTGTTTGTAGGTCGTGCTGCATGAGTTTATCGTAGTCGTGGTTTGAGGTTTTCCAACTGTGATCGTCATGTGTCTATGAGTTACACGCTCACTGCCTCAAATCCAGTGTCATCAACAGAAGCAGCGTTCTCAGTACTTCAGAGTATAACCACAGGTACGTAAGTCAGTCATAATACGAGCAGAACTTGGTATTAACTGACATACCAGCTATATTAATCCATAACGTTTAACATATCCACTACTCACGAGTAACCTAACAACGATTTAAGGACGTGTCAAAGTGGAATGCAATCGAACTATGAAGGGTTAGCAACAAGGACAATACGTGCTCCAGAAAAATCACTATTGCCCTACCACAAATATAACTCTTACAGAGGAATTCAGCGTCGGAAAAAAGTGACATTTAGCAGAAGTCACGAGACCGAGCTCTTGCTTTCTGTTTGCTTTGCTCCAGCGCTCCAACTAAAAAGTAGATGCCACATATAGCTCGAATACTCTCTTAATGATCGGTGCATTGTTGAACCGGGCTGACCTGACGAGCAAGCTGATCGATTATTGTACCACACGAGATGAGCCGCGCGATCCCGAAAACGATTAGGATCATAAAAATGGTTCCGCAATGAATATACGTTTCTTATATTCGTGAAGTAATACTGCTGCATGCTTTGAATCAGCCGTTTTTCAGGGATGCCCGACGACGTAAGCGAGAACGGAAAACCAACAACGATCCAGACGGGCTCACCAATGCCAACGCCGTGCCCAACTATGGGTCCTGCCAACGGAAATCGTCAAAAAATGGAGCGGTGCTGAAGATGACCGGTTGTGAAAAGAATACCTTTCCCACTAACTACAATCAGATCGATGAGTGTGTCGATAACTATAATCAAGAAGAGCCACATATACTCACTGAACGACAGGCTCGTTTTATGTTCATGTGCGATCCATCACAATTACCTCGCGAGCCCACATTTGAATCTCAAGCTGCCCTTGGCAGCGAGCAGAATCATTCTTCCAAATCCACTCCTCCTCGCGAAGAAGTCATCCTGGAAAACGAACCACTTGAAGAGGATGCTCCAGAAGAAACAGTAGAAAAATGTCATCCTCCATCTCCACCAGTTAAGCAACCATCGCCTACCAAATTAATAAGAAGATCACCTCATAGCGATCCCGAAGTGCCTGCCTTAGTGCTTGTGCCGTCCCTCTCTCTTGACTCACCAATAACATCCGATGACTCACCTAACTTCGCTGTTCCAACCTCGTTGCTTGGGAATGATCGTGACAGCCCCATCGACAGACCGAGATCACGGCGAAGTAGTCGTGTTGGAGACGAGGTATTGGACTTGCGTGAGGAGGATGGACCATTGGATATAGAAAAAAACAACAACTATAACCTGCTGCTACAGAATCTTGCACGTGATGAAGACGAAATTGAAAGGCGGGAACAACTGGGACGATGGTCGAGCAGCGACGGTGAGGTTGACGTTTATTACAAGATGAGTGACGACGAGGACGTGACGATTCATGGCGACGATTGGGCGAATGTGAAAGCTGAGGCGGTGGCCGGTATTAGCAGAAACGAGTCAGGAAACGACGCTGCTGATAGTGATTCTGATGATGATGACGAGCGATTAAAACAAAGCGACGGGGATATTGACGGATACGTTTACGAACGATTACGCGAGGAACTCACACCTGTACCACCGGACAGCTAGCGGTGGTGACTCCTATGAGTGTGTGGGTCTATGCGCCCTGGCTCAGAGATGTGTAATCGAATTTGTTATAGGATACATTTATCATTCACTCATCACTATCTTTTCTCCAGCCCTCTTTGCTCTCTTTTTTTGCCAGTTACGAAGCTCAACGACTTAAACGAACATGGGTAACAAACTTCTCGAAGTTAGCTTTTTGATATTATCTTCTTCTAATACGAATGTGTATATTATATATACTAGCCAGAGCTACATTTCAATGCTTCCAGACTTTTTTCCATGTATTTTCACGTGACAATCAATCGAAAATGCAACTAAAAAACGGCAGAGAAGCCCTCATACAGACTTCTGCTTGTACATGCGCATTATTGATAGTGATATTGCAGCTTCTTTTCATTGTGCCTCAACATTTCAGAAACGTTTAGAAATGAAACCAATAGACATTACACATAGCAGTTAAACACTTATTTCACTGGTTTTCTGGTTTTCCATATGAAGATGATCGTACATACTTGCCACATAGATCTACTATACAATATGAAAATAATTATTGATTTGTGAATAAAATTTATTGAATAGACTAGTCCGAGACCTAACAAAAACTCTGGAAACAATCAGGAACACTAGCGCTAAGAGGCAAATCCAAAACCGTTGTAAACACCCTTTCAACTGGCACATGAATACGGAGGAACCACATGCTTCTATTACTGTTCCCAAGTATTCTCAGACTCACAAGCGCCACTAATCAAAATCGTACAATTCTTCAGGTAGCAATCTTGCAAACAGCAAATGACTCAGCAAAAGCAACTTTTCATGCAATTCTTCACGGGTTCTATTCAGGGATTCGTCTATAATGATTTTCCTACGAAAAATATATCAATGACTCAGACGCAACACGGACTTCACGGCATGTAAGATGGCCACCTTATTCAAATCAGTCTTTCAATCCAATGGATCGTATGAGAATTATTCATGCAGAAAGCGCTGAATTAGGCCCCTGCGCAGCACCGGTTGACAAACACAAATCATTGCGAATTATTCATTCAAACTTTTTACAATAATAAATGGAAGTCAAACGCATGTTCCCATCCGAGAACGGGGTTTATCAACGCCCAAGAGGGTCCTTTTCGCTTTTTGAAAATAGGACTATGCAGTGCTAGCACTTGTAAGTTTACATACCTCGAAACAGTGATAAATGCAATAGGCTCCTAATTCGAGAATGAAAAAAAAAACCTGCGAACTTCTAGTACTCTTTGCGAGATGACATCCCAGAGCCATGGAACAATACTGACGACCAAAGAGTTTCAGAGAGTGTCTTAATGTGCAATACCTATCTCTCTAAGGAGCGTGCTGGAGCCGTTATATCAATATTTCTACAAGGCAGGCATTCACCGATTGCACACAATGCAAAAAGACCCAGCGCCTAGGGAATGCATTAGAATGGAGCACAAATTTCATTTGAAAATAGGGAACTGTTAATATTTCTTGTTTGCTTAAAAGAATGTTGATATAATCTCAATCAAAAGTCAAATGTCTAGAGCTTTATTTGAACGAGTTATGTTGAAAATATGTTCTGAAATTGGAACTGCCCGTGCAGATATCTATGAATGTTTGTTGCTCTGCACCTGAGGAAGTTTTTCTCAAAGAACTTCTAGTGGCGATGAATCGTGAGTCTTACTCGTTCATGTCGAGTCGATTAAGTTTCCGTAAGAAGCTTCCAGCATCTAACCTTAGAACCGCACACGTATCAAATTCTGTTTGCTGAGATTTCCAGGGCGTCAAATATCGGAAACTACACTAAGCGCTAACGCTAATCTCTTAAGTAAACAACTCCAAAACCTAGCCTCCTTGAATCGTGAAAATTGAGCGAACCGTCCATATAATCATACTAATGACGCTATGCCACAAGATACGAACTTAACTCGTTAATGCCTAAAGCGCATAGAGCGCATAAACTCCAATCGGCAAGTTACTCCAATCATACCAACCTCTGGAACCTAAACTACGGAGTGAAGTGTACGCTGAATTCCATGGTCTCAAAACTATTAATATTATCCTTTCCAACAACCCGCCGTTTTCATTGTAGAGAAACGCCAGCGAATTTTCATTCAGGGCATTGTGTTCTTTACGACAAAAATTAGTATACTAACAAGGAAAGGATACCAGGTTGCAGTGGCCATTCAAGATGAGATGTATACCGACGTAGGTAGTTTCGAACGCTGATCTCAAATCTGGCTCCAAATCTGCGACACGATTCTGGGAACAAATTTACGGGCCCCCCTTCCCCAGCTGCCATGCCCCTTTGTTGCTTTTAGACGAGAACCAAGCCGTGCTTAAACATGAACAAATGGCGCAGTTGGGAGGACAACGGACTAGTGGACGAGACACGGAGGTTCGAATCCTTGCCGCATGAGCTTGTTTTGCTTTTTCATAAAAATGTTCCAAACTCTTGCAAAATCCTTTTGCACATCATTTGCACTACCTACAGCACTCCCTCACACTTATAAAACACAATAAATGGTAATACAAAAATATTTTTTCGTCGGCTCTACAGACCGAGCAATGAAGGGTGCACATAGAACCCTTCTGCTCGCGGCACTCAAGATGTGGTGAAGAAAACAATAGCTCCATACACTTTCAAAAGAGGGCTGTCGGATGACTCGTCAGGCTTAAGCGCTTTTGGACGAAGTAATGCCCCTCTATGGGTAGAAGTTAGCTGGTGCAGTTCAGTTGTCACTTTTATGCAAAAATACCATCTAAACAATAGGTGAGCATTTTGTGAACAGATACGATAATCTAACACAAAGTCATTGGAGCAGAAAAGATTTTCTCATTAGAGCAACGCATGAAAGAAATTTCATCCCGCCCGTAACTCTCACAATTCCCGTCTAGCTGAGGATATCCCATATAAACTCCAAATTCTCCCATGTCCCTATCCAGGTACCCTGATGCAAACCATGAGTAATAAAGAAACTCTTTGAATCTAGGTGCGCTAAACACTACACTAGTGAGATAATGCGAATAATGGAGTTTGCTAACATGGAAGCCCAGATCACGAAATTTCGGAAGAGACAGTACACTTAAGTAGTGGAAGAAAATACGCATCGAGAGGCGCAACTTGAGAAGTTACGTCAGGTGGAATGTTGAGCACTTTCACCTCCTTGATAGATGGCAAAGCAACCTGAATAGCCCCATGGTCCCTTAACAGCTTCATGAGTCGACGGCAAGTAGGGTTGAAGCCAAACTTCTTGGACCAAAGTCCCTTGCTCATTATGTGGGTTGTATTGGCCCTGACTTTAGATGCCGGGAGCAGAAGGGTTCTATGTGACCCCTCATTGTTCGGTCTGTAGAGCCGACGAAAAATATACTTGTTTTACCATTTATTGTGTTTTATAAGTATGAGGGAGTGCTGTAGGTAGTGTAAATGATGTGCAAAAGGTTTTGCAAGAGTTTAGGACATTTTTTATGAAAAAGCAAAACAAGCACACGCGTCAAGGATTCGAACCCCCGTGTCTCGTCCACCACTCTGTCGTCCTCCCAACTGCGCCATTTGTTCATGTTTATCCACGGCTTGGTTCTCATATAAAAGCAACAAAGGGGCATGGCACCTGGGGAGAGGGGGGGGGGCCGTAACTTTGTTCCTAGAATGGTTTCGCAGATTTGGAACCCAGATTTGAGATCAGCGTTCTAAACTACCTACGTCGGTATACACCTCTTCTTGAATGACCACTGCGACCTGGTATCCTTTTTCTTACTGCATCTAATCATGCGAGTTTTTGATGTGTGTAGCATTGTGAATATTTACCACTATTGACCTGCAATCTCTATGTTCCAGATATCCCAAAGAGCTTGAACTCAAAATCAACTAGGAATACAGACGTTATTCTATTCTATGTCGAAGTTCTATTACCATATGGAAAAGAAAATTTCGATGGTCATTAAAATGAATTCGATCGCTCCAATCTACCCAGCCTGCCTCAATTCCCCCCCCCCCCCTCAACCTCTCCCCTATTACCTCAAACCTCCCCTGATGATAGACTTGTTCCCGAGTTGGTAGGGTTGCCAAGTCCCGCTCCATTAGAAACCCAACATTGAATTTACCGAGAACCGATCAGTACGGTTTATGGGGAAAGGCAGGTAAGTAAGTACAAAAAAAATCGGGTTTTATGCACACGAACAAGTATGATGAAGTTTTTCGATGCATTTAGTGCAAAAGACCATCTGAATTGTCTAACTATTATTTTTAAGATACTTCTTATTAGAAAAATTAGGCTTATTTAGATTTTATTGGAATTTTTTTGTTGAAGTTTCTATCATCTTGCATGGTAACAAAACTTTAAAACCGAAGACCATGAAAATTTTACGTTAAAAAACTACTTTTCTTGAAATTTCATTTTCTCACTAGTATCATCATTGCCATCACTCTTATAAGTGAGATAAGGTTAGTTACGATCAAGGGGAGGCGCTAATTAAGATGAGGTTAGTCATCAATGAGGTCACTTCGCACCTCGGCGCGAAGTAATGTCAGTCGAGACTAACGTCGCACACCCTAGATTGAGTCATAAGTCCTCGGACAAATTGGCAATGATAATATTTATCTTACAATTTTTAACCCATTGATGACCATGACGTTTTGCGGGAAAAGCGCAGCCAGGGACCGGCGCGCTTTTCGTCCACTCGCGACTGCAGCTCTCATGTGGACTTCATGGTCCAGAATGACCATTTTTTGAAGTTTATAAGAAAAATTATAAGTTTTTCGGAATGTTCCTTCAAATAGGATCGTAAGAATGCCCACATTGAGTGATTATTGATCTTTATTAAAGGAACGGTCTTCGTTTCAGTAGTCATTCAATTATGAGTTCAATCATTACCAGAAACCGTTTCGGGGAACTTTTACGAGCTTTGCCTTTGGTCGATTATGGCGAAAATGCTAATGACGACCATGTATTTTACATAATATCTCATTTTTCGAGGTTGTTCAATGAACGAAGAGTTCACCAAGGTAATGTACTCCTCCGAAAAACACCTTTACAATTGCGAAATTAGAAGATTTTTCAAGACCACGCTGTATGTAGTTTCACTCAGGCCCAATGTAATGTTTTGAGAAGAAAAATTGTAAAAAAAATGGGAATACAGGTAAATAAAACAAAAAATACAACTGCAGTGCACGGTTCCACGTGGCCGAAAAAGTGCAGTCCACATATGGACTGCATGGTCGTCAATGGGTTAAACGACAATAGCGAATCATTTGAAATATGCCCCATTAGCATCGATGGTCTTCTGCCAATGCTTGGGCAGATCGTAGATGCCATTGCTTTAGAACGCTGGGAGCTAGCCCATGGAGAACTGCTTCAGTGACATTGTGATGTCGTCGCGGGTTTGAAAGTCCTGACCATACAGATGACGTTGAAGATGGGGAAAGAGGTGGTAATAAAGAGGGATCCAAGTCTGAGGAACATGGTTGGTGTGGTAAACTTGTCCTGCCGAATTTCGTCAGTTCAGATTTGGTCGTTCTTGCAATCTGAGGGCGAGCGTTGTCGTGCTAGAAGTAAACTTTGTGCTGCTGTGGACGTGTAGCTTCGGGATTCGCCTTCAAATTCCTCAGTTGCGTAATGTAGACGTGTGCGGTCACTGTGCATCCTTCGTCTAGCAGCTCTCATTATTCGACACCGTGAACACCAGAATCAGAGCATAACCTCCTTGGCGTGTACGTTGGGTTTGGGGGTCTTCTGCATCCGCATCTTCGTCAATCCATTGAGCACGCCGGTGGACGTTATAGTAGAGGATCGACTTCGCACCCGTGGTGACTAGGTACTCGAGCCACGTGTGGTGCCCTTGAGGAAAGAAAGTGCCACGTCGTCGCGGCGGTCTATGTCATACTGCTTCAAAGCATGAGGCATCCATGGACCAAGCTTCCGTACCTTGTCGATTGACTTCAATCCACGAAGAACTGTGGACTGACTCATCTCAAGAGTGACTGCCAGTTCACGAGTAGTTTGTACGGATCGGCTTCCACAAGGCTCCGCAGCACGTCCAAATCCAACNGCCACGTGTGGTGCCCTTGAGGAAAGAAAGTGCCACGTCGTCGCGGCGGTCTATGTCATACTGCTTCAAAGCATGAGGCATCCATGGACCAAGCTTCCGTACCTTGTCGATTGACTTCAATCCACGAAGAACTGTGGACTGACTCATCTCAAGAGTGACTGCCAGTTCACGAGTAGTTTGTACGGATCGGCTTCCACAAGGCTCCGCAGCACGTCCAAATCCAACTCCATTGGACATCCCGGACGGTCTTCTTCTTCGATGGAAAAGTCGCCCGATGCGAACTTCTAGTGCCACTTGTAAACTGTACACGTCCTCCTTGTGAACGTCCTTCGCACCTCTATCGAATGCCGCGGGTTCATGGCCAGATAAAAAATAAATATGATGGTGTTGCGGATGTGGAGTTGCGACGGCTTGAAATCATGAGACACAGCTGCGGGAAAGGAAACAGTTAGGTGCCTTCTCAATATGCATTTGGAAGAGCTTTCCATACTCTATCTAACAATACCTGCGCGTTCATTTTCGTCACTTCTTTCCCGAGTTATGATAGCTAGAAGTCATCACTATCACATTGTCGGAGGACTTATGACTCAACCTAATACATAAATAGCGGCAGTCGACCTTCACTCCTAAGTCTTTCCACTCCAAAAGACGCATGCAATGAGTTTTGGATTTGTTTTGGAGAAGAGGAGTGTGGATGTGAGTTATTTAGGTGTTCTGGTTCGATCCTATCGGGATCGGACGCGGTACCATTCTTCATCGACGTGATGGCACATCGGATTTCGGAAGGGAGAACCGAAGGAGCGATACATTCGTCTTGACCGAATTTGTGGGTACGCAGGTAGACGTGGCTGTCGAAGAAATCCGAGTAGAAGTCGTAGATGACCTTATCCATTGCTCTTCGAGATGCAGCAACTGTACCGTCAGGACGACCACGAATTGAAGTCATTGTGGTTTTGTAACTGGCGAAGCTCTGTCGGGCTTTGCGAATGCTCTTTCCGGCCCCGGCGGCCTCGTCCATAACTGCTGCTCTTGCATAGCTTCGCAAGTTTGGACGTTTGTTGATGATTGCCTGCAGCTCGCGCGATTCCATGCTGCGCATCAGCTCGAGAGTACTTGAAAAGAGTCGTGTCCTGGCTATTGTAGACTCTATGATTTCCTAGCACTATTGTGAAGATATTCGACGTTGTCGATAACGGAGTCTTACCATTCACTCGCAAAGGAAGCGAAGGTATCCCAGTTGATGGAGGTCTTGAGGCTTGGTTTCTCAAACTTCACAGCTCTCTCCCCACGGGTTCAGAAATAGAATCTAGTGCGGAGGAGAAGATGGTCCGACCCCGTGTAGAACTCCGGAACAACAGCGACACCAGTCAGGCAAAGCCTCCGATTGAAAATGGTGTGGTCTATTTCTTTATGGAATTATCCTCCAGGCTTTGCGAATTCTCTTTCCATCCCTTGTCCATCGCGAATGGGAACTGCGAGTTACCATGGATGGTGTGGATCGACATGATGAACTCGGACAGTTTTTCACCGTGCTCATTCAATTCCGTTCAGTGAGTCCCGATGTGAAGCTCTTCAGACGTTCTTGTTGGGCCAATCCCGGCATGGAAATCACGGACGATGACCATGAAGAAAGAATGGTTACTCAAAAGAGCCTCTCCAGATCCATATAAAACACTTTCAAATCCTCTCCTGCGTATCTGGATGTTGGTGCGTAGGCAACGAAGACTGTTAAATCTGTGATTGAGCCACATCATCTTAATCGCGAATGTCTGATTCGGGTTATCAAGCTTTCGTACAAATCGATGATCATTACCAAGTGCGTGCTGACGAGGAGACTACGCCTCTAACGCCTCTGCCGTCGCATGTTCCAAGGAACAGTTCTTCTCCAGTCTTATATAGAGCGTGTAACCGACGACGTCTTCTCGTCTCAGTCAGTGCGATGACGTCGTAGTTGATCTTCCTAGCTTGCATCATCAGGTCTTGTATCTTCTACGCTTTCTATGCGAGGGCCCCTTGAAAGTACAGATCGCCAGCTTGTTGTTAGTCCTTCTCCTTTTGGGAAGCCTGTTTTGGCCCTGAGATTTTAGCAACGTCTTCCGGGCGGTCCTACAAACGCTGCCGGGGACTCCCTGGTTCAGGGGAATAGCCCCATTCATATTACTGTTTTTGGCAAACGAGTACCTAACGTGTAGCTTGTCAGGCTCTAACGCATGGGCCGGATTTACTCCGGGTGCTAGCCAGGCGGTCCCGAAGTGGACGAGAGCTCTGTTTTTTGAGGCAGTCCCGACTCGCCTCCCAGACACTTCCCACTCACTGGAATGGAAGCTTTCTTCTGAGTTTGGGCAAGATACCAACTGCACCCGCAGACTCCACACTCGTATGGGTGGGTACACCTGCGAGAAACAGATGGTATAACGACCAGCACAGCATAATCAAGGAGCCCACCTCAGAATCCACCTGCGTCTTTGGGCAAGCACTGGCGACTTTTGGTCGGTTATTCGCTCCCCTTGGGACACCCTACGTAGCCTCGTCACTAACCGGCTGGAATACTTCAGTGAGAGAGAAAGTTAAGGAGATTCTTAGGTACCCTTCTGCACGGTCATTAATTGAACACAAGAAATTCTACTATGCCCTTTCGCCTCTTGCATGCTATTGCTTGTGACACTGAATTAACCGTCACCACTTAGAAGATATGAGAGTCTTACTCCAGAAATATGCATATAGCATAACTTTCTTGTACAAGTGATCAACAGCGATGAGAGGAAATGAATGAGTCATTCCCGCCTCAGAAATTTCCGAGCTTTGGCGCGCACAATTTTGGGACATCCTATACAGTAAGGATGGTTGAATGGATTGAGACTTGCTTATACGATAGCAAGGATAACAAGGGCATGCGTTTCATTGTGGACCAGTGATTTTGTAAATTGTCACCGTGTAAATCTCTGTATCTGAAGGTGTGTAGCGCGTCTATCGTTACACATATGAAGTGATGGTGTTCATTTATATCAAAACAAGTTGTAGACAATGCCGACTACAACATGACCCCTTGTTACTGGAAAACTCGCGGAACAAGAAAAGGCACGTTGCTAAAAACCCAGGCTCCTTGTTCCTTCTTGGCGACTATTCGTTCAGTCTGGAGAACGTTGAGTTTTCATCTGTGGTTGTAGAGAAGCAGTATGTATAAAGGGTGCACTTTGTGAAGAACGTCTGCTTTACATATTGTTTCAGATTAATTCGTCAATGATAAGTCCCTGGAAGGCGTGTTCGAGAGCAATTCCTGCTGAATGGGTTTCAATGTTCATACAAAATAGTCACTAGATAACGTATAGAACCATCATGTTTCACAGGCACAGTTCACGATGATTTTGGGTGTCAGTTTTGGATAATGGAAATTGTGGAAATGACTGTTCGAAATAGAGCAGAACCGGCGAAGAAAACGCGAGAGCGGAGTATATAAAGAATTATAACCCCTCAAAAAAGTGGTAAAAATAGGAATCGGACGAGGATGTGACGACAAAAGTTGCATGGAAAGGGTATTGGACAAGCTCTCCAAATTCGTGTGCCACTGCATACAACTGGCTACACTACGGCTACGGCTGCGCGACCTTTACGCTTCTACAACGCCGTGAGAACACCTCCGCTATTGGGTGCTCTTTTGCATCATTATAAGAAGGAATCTCAGAAGAGTAGGAAGGAATCAGATATCTTCTTATCATGGACTAGAGCGTCAAGCGTACAAGATTGCCGAAACGAGGCCCCTACTTGAATAGATGTCAGAATTCATAAAAGCTTTTATTATTGCACTGTGTGTCAAAAAGTTTGACTAAATCAAAGGTAACGGATCACAGAAAATGATAGCAGATGTGAAGGCTCATAAGGGATCTTCAGGCTCCTGTACTCGATGTAGCATTGCCAGTGTTGCAGTGTGTTATCAAGTAAGATAAGGACCGACCAAAGGAATTCTGAGATTGCAAAGTTGAATGGTTATGAGACACAACACGGAAATCAGTCTCACAAAGGTATTTTCCAAGAAGTCCTGAGAATATGGTGTATCTCCGACTTCCTTTTATATCAGACAAAATTAAAGTCGAACGTATCCGACACGAGCGGATTTGGTCAATGATGTTGTCTTGATATACCTACCAGGGACAATATCAAACGCCAACTAGTCCGCAATAGACTTTACGACCGTGCATGTGCAACGAATAACTGCGTCATTTGTCTCATTGGAAAAGACGGAGATTGCAAGCAGCAGGGACGGTTTATGAATTCAGTATTCAGCCTGTGACGATATATATATATATATTATTTTTTTTGAGATGGGATGGATGCACGGTGCACACGTCAAAGAACACCTAGCAAGAAAAAAGCAAGGAAGTCTCCTAACACCACTTGGGAGGCACCGACTAGAAGAACATCAAGGCGATGATTTCAACATCGAACGTAAAATCCTAGCCTACGAGAATGAGATCGGTGCCCAGATGATGGAAGCGTTACATATACGTTACAGCGTTACATATACGCGCGAAAAATCCAAGACTGAACATCCGAAATGTGTGCTTGACCATAACAATTGACAATCCAATTGCTACACGTTCCCCTTTGTGGGCTTTGGGATCACCCGCATAACTCCTATCTTCACCAATGGTGTCCAATTGGTCCCTCGTTGTTCTCATAGAATGAGACGTAACCCTGGTGGGACCACAGAAGATTGGTCAGTTTGCTGAAAACTTTTCGGAGTTTGAGTTTCCGGGAGTTGTTGCAACTAGCCTTGCGCGTTTCGGCGCTAGGTCGGATAAGCGACAGGTTGGGAGCCTTGAACTATTTTCAGGTCATTAAAAGTTATTAATCTAATATTCTCGAGTCACTGAAATGAGAAGAGAAATTTTCAGTTGGCCACACTACTTTTGCGCAATGCCCAAAACGGATTCCAAACATTATTCTATGCTTCTGTGCCACACAGGTTTTTTAATGGTGGAATTTTTA